GTACGAGCGATAATTATTTCTTTTCGTTTTAAAAACAAAACATAAGGGCTTTCGTTTGATCAATGAGACCCTCCCAAAGCAACAAGCAAGAACCTGAAAAAGCAAGAAAGAGAATTTTATTACCTCTCCATCTTTTTACCCATGAAACGCACAAGAGCTTCGCAACAGAACATCGCCCACCACCCCCCAAAAGTTACTTTTGTGTTTCCGGCACATACGAGTATTCTTGTCTTTATTCACCCAAGAGGAACCCGGCGCAGAGCGAAATCGTCGGCCGGGCACCGCAGCTCACAGCAAACACCAGGGGGATGCACCACAAAACCATGAGCCACACCGCATATATTCACATGATATATATTTCGACCACAGATAGCAAAACCTTTACACCACATCGATGACAAAACAAAAACCCCTTCAAAACTAAAAGAGCATGACTTTAACAGGATGGCACTCACCTGTAAATTCTCACTCGCGTACTAAATGACAGCAATTCCTCTTCCTTAATGTCATTTTCTCTCAAATAAAGACAACGTAGCCTAGGCAGCCTGCCAAGGGCACCAAAGCTCTTCACTCCTTCACACCCAGACACATTCACCTCTTCCAGCCTCTCCACAGATGCGAGAGGAGACACATCTGTAAGGCGGTTGCAAGTTCGGAGTACAATCTTCACAAGACTGCGACTCGCACTGAGACCCTGTAACTCCCTGTCTGTAATAGCAGTGCATCCCAAGTCAAGCACACGCAGGACAGGCAGCCTTCCAAGGGCACCAAAAGTTTTCACACCTTCACAATTAAACAGATTCATCTCTTCCAGTGTCTCAATAGATGCGAGAGGAGACACATCTGTAAGGTGCCTGCAGTATTCGAGCAAAATCTTCACAAGACTGCGACTCCCACTGACGCAACGCAACTCCTCGTCGGTAATAGCGGTGTATCCCAAGTCAAGCTCACGNAGTATTCGAGCAAAATCTTCACAAGACTGCGACTCCCACTGACGCAACGCAACTCCTCGTCGGTAATAGCGGTGTATCCCAAGTCAAGCACACGCAGGACAGGCAGCCTCCCAAGGGCACCAAAACTATTCACTTCTTCACATCCAGACATATTCACCTCTTCCAGTGTCCGGATGGATGCGAGAGGAGACACATCTGCAAGGTACCTGCAGTGTTGGAGCACAATCTTCACAAGACTGCGACTCGCACTGACACCCCACAACCCCTCGTCTGTAATAGCAGCACATCCCAAGAGAAGGATACGCAGGGCAGGCAGCCTGCCAAGGGCACCAAAACTATTCACTTCTTCACATCCAGACATATTCACCTCCTCCAGCGTCCGAGTGGATGCGAGAGGAGACACATCTGTAAGGTGCCTGCAGTGTTGGAGTACAATCTTCACAAGACTCCGACTCGCACTGAGAACCTGCAACTCCTCGTCGGTAATAGCAGTGCATCCCAAGTCAAGCACACGCAGAACAGGCAGCCTGCCAAGGGCACCAACAGTTCTCACTCCTTCACACCCATAGACTTTCACCTCTTCCAGTGTCTCAATAGATGCGAGAGGAGACACATCTGTAAGGCGCCTGCGGTTTTCGAGCACAATCTTCACAAGACTGCGACTCGCACTGAGACCCTGTAACTCCCTGTCTGTAATAGCAGTGCATCCCAAGTCAAGCACACGCAGGACAGGCAGCCTGCCAAGGGCACCAACATTCTTCACACCTTTACACCCATTCAGATC